CCCCCTAGGAGAAGCCCCCTGCATGGGGTCAGTCGCTCTGCCAGCAGGTGCTGCGTGTTAACACACCTCCTAGCAATGCTCTGTGCAATGCTCTGTGCAATGCTCTGTGCAATGCTCTGTGCAATGCTCTGCTCCCTCTCAGCTTCGGAGCGCCCAGTGCTTGGTGCAGGGCTCAGCACAGCCCAGCTTTGGCACAGTACCAGCACTGCAGCTCCCACCAGGAAGTGGCACTTGAGTACAAACGAGGTCTTGGTGAACTGGTACGGTGTCTGCAGGGTGGGAGCCACGCACCCAGATGGGCAGTGCACGAGGCCAGCATGTCTGCAAAGGGAGGAAAAGCACAGCCCTCGGGCCACAGACAGCTCTCCCAGAGAGAAGGGGACCTGGAGAGCCACTCGAGATTTCCCCCACACAGCACATAAAATTTGAGATTTTTTTTTTTTTTGTCTTTTTTAAAAGGAGAGCAGGTACAAAAATAAAAGAAATCCATATACTCTGAAAATATACCGGAAACTGCCACCACAGATGAGGTACCATTTATCCCCACCCCCCACCCCCAAACTGCAAACATCAAAATATATATGTTTTTAAACAAAGGAAGAATATCTGGCTATTTAATCTCAGTTAAAATGACAGCACCCTTTGTTACACTTGATATTTCACACCATTAATTCTCTTTTGAAAAAAACAAAAACCAAAAAAAAAAAAAAAAAAACCAAAAAAAACCCCAAGATATCTAACTAACCTTGATTCCTTGCTTATCTCCTCATTCCTTAGTGCAGTAATTGTCCATCTCCATTTAAATAAATATAGCAGCTACAGCATCATAAATGTGTGGCCCTCACAACGCCAGTAAGTTGATATTGTAATACAAATAAGTATCGGCACTTTACGTAGATATTTGCAAAACCAAGAAGAGAGATTCAAACTTCCACGTACTCTTCACATGAAAACCAGGTAAACCAGCTGTCGAGCCAGCATTTAAGTCACCTTCCCAATGAAGTTTCTTTGTTTTTTTTGGTGAGAGTTGAAAGCGAAAAGCCTCTCGGGTCATAGTCACTGAGCGTGGGCAGGATGAGAAGGGCACAGCATCTCTGAAAGGAGCAGTAAAAGACTTTTTAAAAAGGAGTTTTCATCTTAACGTCAGAAATCCACAAGAAGGCTTTGTGAAATAGTTTCTTTAAAAAAAAAAAAAGTCTACTCCTCTTTAAACATTAGCTTTCTGTAAAAAGCCTAACCTGAACCTTTTATGAACAGAACTGCTAGCTACAGCTCTTCCAAGGCAGAGCTGCCAGGCCACCGACCGAGAGCAACGTTTCAGAGATTGAGGAGCCCTCCTTGCTCCAACAACTGCACCACCACCTCCCTGCAGCTCTGCCTCGAGGCACCGTGGGCACCTGCAGGCTGAGCCATCCTGGAGCTGCAGCCCAACAGGGGGCTCAGGGCTGACCCTAACCCCACTCTGCCCTCCACTGCTCCCCAGCAGCCCCCTCCCCCCGAGCTGCAGGAGCTGCCCACCCTCAGGACTACTTCCAGTGCAATGGTAATGGTGCAAGGTTAGTCTTTACATTCCCTTCCTTGGTAGTGGGAGATAAAGCATGCCTACACGCCAACTGCCGAGCAGAGCTCTCTGAGACAGCGTTGTGAACAGCACTACATACATTTCAGTACAATATACAAATGCACAAAATACAGTACTTTGTCTTCTGGCAGAAAAGATGGGGAGAGTCATGCCTGCTGAAGCAAAACGGGCTCAGATTTTAGGCTCAAAACACAGTATATTGGCAAACAGCGCATGAGAACGCCAGGAGATAAAGCTGCTTTACCGACCCTCTGGTTTTCATGTGGAGAGCAGGTGGGGTTCAGAAGGGCTGGGATAACAGCAATGCCCATAGAAACGATCTGCAGTATATATACTATGAACCAGTGCAAATAAAAAACAGTCAAAAAAATGCAGTTCACGAGTTTACAAAGTGCAAAACTTCCCAGTCCCCTCGCGGAATAAATGCTCATCTCTGACATCTTAATATTGGTTTACCTTTAAAGTGGAATGAAAGAGTCCCGTTTGTTTGTTTCACATTTCAGTGATTTAAAGGTAGAACTATCCCAGCCCTCTTACTTTATTTGCAAAGTGAAATGAAGTTACCAATAACTTAATTTTAAAAGGAAAGTCGTTATCAAAGAGGAAAAAAGCCTAAAAACTTTTAATAACTCCAGACATTTTATTGATGTCAAATAGATTTAATTAAGCATGTAAAAACTTAGATCTTAATAAAAAAATCTTTTTGTTTACTTCAAATATCTTCCATGTCTCAAAGCCAAAAATAGGGCCGGTTCCTTTGTTAAACCAAACCACGGCAGCGAGCGGTGAAGCTTGCAGAGTTCCAGAAGCATTTTTGCTACTTTTTGATTTAAAAAAGGAAAATCCGAGATTCCTTCTGACTATAAAACTTTCCTTTCAAAATTAAGGCTTTTACTTTGTCCTTTTAAAATCGGAGGTGTCCATTCTCCCACAGCCAGTGGTACAAGCACTGCTCTGGTACAGCTCAATGGACACGGTTTTCTTTTCGAACGCTTATTGCACTAAAAGATAGCAAAAACAAGTTGTCAGTTCTTTAAAAATAAACATGGTTACATTTCTAAAAAATAAAAGTTGATGTTGACCATATGTTCTGTAATAATTAAATTAAAGCATTATTATTACTCTAATAAATATAAAAGAAACAAAGGAAGCTAAACTTCAAAAACACGTACGTATGAAATCACATTAAGGTGTGAGAGGCAGCAAGTAAACTAGCATTTTTCTTTTGTCAAGAAGACCTTAGCTCTAAAGTTTCAGTTCTGGTGTTTACTGTAGCCATCCCATAAAGCTTGGGACGCCCAACCTCACATGAAGCTTCAAGATATTTGACTTGCCAGATAGAAAATAATTGAAACTTTTGGACTAGGTAAAACAGCAGCTTTAGTAAAGTCACCAGGGAGCAAGAACAGTTGGGATCACCACTGCCTGCAGTAACACCACTAGCTTTGTTTGCTTCTTAAAAGGGAACTGTTGGAGCTGAGGACTCCAAAGCTGTGAAGAAAGGCAGCAGTTGGCTAAACTATGTTCAAATGATTGGATTAGTGTGCAAAACATCTTCCCTCCCAATTTTTTTTCTACTTAGTGCTGTACATTCAGATGTACTCAGATATGTTCGCTGATGGCAATACTGAGAGAAAGATTCCTCAATTGGGCAGGAAAAAAAAAAAACATTTTTGCACACTTTTCTCTCCCAAAAAAATCATTGTGACTGTTCTTATACAGGTTGCTTTTTTAAAATTACACCATCCATTTTTTTTTTAAATTATTATTAATTTTTTTTTTTTTTTTTGCAAAGAGAGTTGTGCTGCCGAGCAACTTGAGGTAAAGGCATAAGAGGGTTAAACTACGAGAAATTAAAAAAACAAAAAGGAAAATGATGGCGGTGCTTCCTACAGGAGACCGCGCCACAAAAGCAGTTGGCTGGTTTCATATTGCATAATAGTGCTGTGTTCCTCGGTGAAGTAAACAATCTTCCTTGTGTCAATTTAAGGGTCAGCCTCTCGCCCCTGCACGATCGGAGGCACACCCCATAAACCAACCCCACTGGAAACATACATTGTATGTGGCTTAATTTGTCAGTTCTTCCTTTCAGCGAGCACGCTCCCCTTTTATTGACTTAAGCGAAGTACATCGTGCGTAAGGTGTCTTGGTGAATCTGTACAGCCTTCGCCAGGGCCTGTGGATCTCTGCCATTGCTCTGTCCTGAAACGTGGCTTCCTTCAGCACTGCAAGAAAATGGGAAAAATTAAGGCAAGAGGAGCTGTGCGTTGCGTTGATTCGGATTTAACGCTGCCTCCGCGTCCCTTCGTCATGCAGGGGGGTAAAATGGCAATATCAACAGAAAGCCTGAAGGCTGCAGAGTGAACAGATAAACCCCCTCCCCTCAGCTCCTTGATCTGTCCAGAAAAAAAACACTGCAAATATACCGATGGCTTTAACGTTATAAAATAACCCTGACATCCAAAGCAGAGTGAGAGAAACGTAAGGCACTTCACATCTGTTCCACTGATGAATGCTCCAACTCTAAAGCAAAAAGCCAAATGTGTGGTTTGATTCCTTCACACCACAGAGATATTGAAGCAATATTTTATGAAGCTGAACTTCGTTCTTGTAATCCAGGTGTTATTCAGTAGAAAACACCAATCCACCCTTGCCTGCCACAGCCTTGATGTCAGGAATGAGCATCTTAAGTCTAGCTGCAAAGGTTACAAGAATTAAGTGCAAAATGAACAGCCATTACCTACAGTCAGACCATGAACAGCCATTACCTTTATGCCTGACAATGGAGCAGAGACCAACAAGGACAAACATTTAAGGACACGTATTTTCCTTTACCTGTCATGTTCTTTGTCCACAAGATGGTATCGTGCTCTGAATGCTACCAGGTGAGCATAATACGCTGGTGCAGGTATAGAAACTGACCGTGTGCAGCGCACGTATGTGTGGCAGAGCTGGTAAGTCAGCAGCTGAAGTTCATCTGCAGTAAAACAGTTATCATCCCACAAAACATGATAGTGTGAGGGACGGCTGGTACCCTAAAAAGAAGGGAACATTGGTTCACATTTATTTTTTTTTCCACTCTCCATGCAATCAAGTCAGATGTTCAAGTTCAGAAAAGGCCAGACTGTCTAGTCTGAATTCCTAAGTAACAGCAGCCAAAGAAATTTCCGGATTATGTCAGCAATAAATGTATCACAGAGATTAAAAAAGCCTAATATTCATATGATGATGTTATTTTAATTATCCTTGCTTGGGAAAAAGAAAACCACATGCCTTCTAAATAACCCTTAATAACTGAAACCTGCTTCCAACATGACTAAACTGATAAACACGCCGATTTTTACCACCACCCTAACATTTCCTAACAGACCACAACAGCCACTGAATGCTGAGCACAGCTCTTAGGAACTCTTAGAAGTTCTCCAGTAAACCGATATGCAGTTTCTTTGGAAGACACTGTTCTGAAATAAATGAGTACTCATCTTCCCCCTGCTTCTCCTCTGGAGGATGTTATACACTAGAGCTGAACCTTACAGCACAGCCAAGTTATGTCAATAATTGTATTTTATCCATACTAAACATTTAACATACATAATTTAAAATGCACATACATACACACATATACACACAAATCTCTATTTAGCCAAGACTTACTTCTAGCTTGCTACAACAATACATTTACATCTGTATGTTCTAAATCTACATTTACTTACAAGACAACAATTATACCTGTATTCCAGCATGACTGCAGAGGTAAAAATCAAACTCATATGGATGTGTAATGTCTGTATCTACAGTTGTTCCAGCTGGGATATTGCCACTTCGTCCAACCTAAACAGAAATTTTGTGAAAAACAGTGCAGCTAACAGCTTATACACTTCAACTATAATTAAAAACATAGGTTCCTGTTCAGTACACAAAGCACTTCAGTGGATGAACTGCCTCAGCTTTGTTTGGAATGTGCCAATACAGCAACCTGGGATGTCTGTTGTGGATACTGCATGGCTTTTTACCACTGCAATGCAGAATACTCAGCATCCAGAATCTCAGAGCTTTGAATCACAGAAAGCCAGAAGAGCTGCACATATATAATAGTGCACACGGATACTGTGACAAAGCCTGATGGTGTTTGGTTTTTATTTAAAATGTATTTAAGGTCATTGATTTTTCAATTTGGTGCCACATTTTGCACCAATCAATTCAACATATTCCCCAAAAGCAAACAGAATCAGACTGGCAGCGAAGTCCATACTAATATTTTGTCTAGCAGTGCAAGTACTGACACCAAGCTTGTACTGAGCAGGACAATGATTACCCTTTCTGTTCTGTCAGCACAGAACAACCGTGTATGATGTCGTTTCTGCACCACAATATAGGTTATTCCAGGCTGGTAATCCTTCTCCAAACTGATGCAGGCTTCTCTAATTGCTAGCAGTTCATAGTACAAAACCTACAACAGAACAGAAAAGGGTTTTCTTCACATTATATTCTACACAAAACACCTAATTAACAGTTTGTAGTTAAACTAAGTTCAGCTGTGCTGCACAATTATTGAGCTCAGGAAGTACTGAGAAATATATTGTTTCCCAAGAGTAAGAGTTGTTCTTCCTAGACAACAAGGAAATAGCAACTTCTCTTACCCAACACGCTTAAGAAACTCTCCTAAAAAGGCTCAATTCTTTTGTGGTATCTTAGCACAAACAAAAGCAGTGCAGCTTATTCCAACAGGAGGGCAGGAATTCAGTGTTTCAGACAGCTCACAAGTGAACCAACCTGTCGGAACTGTCCTTCAGAGACCCCATCCCTATAGAAGATGATACGTGTGGGCTTGAAGCGCGTTGACTTGTAGAATTGGATGAGAAGCTCCCTCACCATGGAGGCCAGGTCTTGGATGATCTCCTGCCGGGGCCGCTGAACTCTCACCGTGGCACAGTATCGGCTTGGATGAGCATCCATACTACCTACAACCTTTAGGAGAACACTGCATGACTACAAGCAACAAGTTCAAATCTATACCAAACACTCTAACATCATAGAGCAGTATTAATTCCTTTATATTATTTCTGCAAAAACATTCTATTTAACATGAATGCCTTGATACAAAAATCAAAATGCTCTGAGAACAAAGTATCAAGCAGTATTTTTCTTTTAAAGACACGACTTTTGGTAACACTGGAAATGTGTAGCAAGAATTAGGGCATAAGCCCTGAAAGACATCTGACAAACACAGGCCATGAGTTGCATTTGCTGTTCTAACATTTACCCGAGATGAAATAACAATGTTGATTTCATAAAACTTACAGCAGCTATGGAAGGTTTCTTTCCATCTCCAGCAGGAGGGTGAGTGACATCGGCTCCCAAAAAGATCACTGGCTGCTGGAACACAGAAGGTCTTCAAAAGAAAAAAAAAGTGCTAAGTCACACTTGCAGATGAACAGTTGGTGCTCAATATGGGGCTTTGTTTCTATTTCAGCTACACTACACAGAGAGACTTTCTTATCAGGTACTCCGGCCAGACTTAAACAATGAGATCTTTGTGTGCTGAAAGCAAACTTCCACAACACTAACGGTCACTGCAACTGAATTGTGGGCATGATTCTAGTGGAGGAAAGCCAAAGAGCTGCACCTTAACAATGCAGGCAGTCTCTTACAGAAACCATTATTCTACCATTTGATTTCACTGGTGCTGGGAGTCCAGCTAAGCACCACTTCAGTGCTACCTCAGCCATGCAACAGATGGCTGCGTACACAGCAGCATGCACCTTGTTCTGTCTTACAGGAGACAAGCAGCAGCACGATCCCCCAGTGCTTCAAGATATTCTTCCATGCACTTTTTCTTCATGCTTAAACTCAGATTCCATTCTTTCAGGTATCCTCAGGGAAGAATTTCTACACCTTGCACTCCAGAAGTTTTTGCCTGGCTTGCATGGTGTGTACGTCCACTCTTAAAGAATTGATATGCTCCTAATAACAGTTAGAGACCACCAGAACTTTTTGTCTTCAGGACTGACAGACTCTTCAGAAGAAAGCATGTGAGAAAGAAGGGAGCACACATGGCTTAGACCCAAACCCCACTGAGTGCTTCAAAGCAACTGGAAGACATGCACAGAGATTACCCATGCAATGAATGAGCGTGAGCTGAACTGCTTAGCCTAACAATGTGAGAGAAGTAGGGTGCTTTCAGCAAATTCCTGTCCTTACTGACAGCACACTGGCACGCTAACCAAAACAGATTGTTCTGTGATGTGTGGCATACTCCTAAACCTACAGAAAACTTCTAATTGTACCAATATTTCAGCACCTCCAGAACTGCAGCCGTTCAAGTTTTTGATACTGATCAAGCATGGAAAAATGCTTGAGACTTAGCTTCCAGGCCAACAACTACTCAAGGCCCACACAAGAAGAAATGTAATTCTAGCTCATACCACATACAGGCAGAAGGATAATTCAATGTAAGTTTTGGCTACAATTAAATGTTGGGTGCTAAGTATCAAAGAAAACCCAAATACATCTCCACGCAGATTCTTACCGTTGATGAGGTACAAGGATGTTATTGATTCCTCCTAATTTAACGTTTATCTTCAGGCACAGGTTTGAAAGGGTCTGTGGAGATGTTTTAATGACATTTTTGACTTGAACACACTGCGTGGCCATTCCCAATAGTGTATCTCCCACACGCTTCACCTCCGCTGTGAAACCAAAATCAGGATACAAACTGAGTCCATTTGAAACTATTGCCATGTTTTGATCTTAGCTTACATCACAACAATTGAAATCTACGTAGTCTGCAAAACATCTTTCTATTTAGTTGAATGCTCAGACTTGCTTCTAATTGATTTCAACGTCAGACAGCACTGCTTTCCTATGTCTAATGAATGCTCCACAGCAGTTTCCTAACATGTCATGCATACGCTTGAATGATGCTTCACCAAACAGGTAAAGTCCAAGGTATTCCCTTACCGTACACTGGTGTTTTTCCTGGCAGGATGACAATGATGAGCTGAAGCCCTGAATAGGTGTTCTTGAGGTGCCGAAACATGGGCTCCACACTGTCTGCACCCTGGGCATATTTACAGAAACAGGGCTGGCCCTGGATCGGCATCCCTGCGTCCTTGGAGATCTTACGCAGCTGGTCTGTAAAACCCCTACAGAAAAGGAGTTTACAGGATTTTTGCACTGACAATAGCACACAACAACCAAAGCAAAAACAGGCAGAACAACTCTGTTACTCATATGAAGAAAAGGATTTCACATAGCTTTCAAAGTAGCATTTTTAAAGCACTCATGTGAAGGCCACTTTGAAACAACAAGGCAGCGTTGAATCAACACAGGCCAGAATGGAAAACTGCAAATTTGGGGGCTTTTAGTACTGCATTCACAATGCTAAATGAAACTAAATACAGAGCAGCAATATCACAAGATTCAAACAGTGTTTTGACTGTAGCTTCCAGAAAGGAGCTTGGATTCTTTCCTTAACATGTGAGATGATTAAAGCCACTTAGAAATCATTCAATCTCCCACATCCATGTTTTCACTAAATGGTTTCAATACAAAAGCAGCCTAAAGCCTGAACTATGACATGCCTTACTTCAGTATTTCTTCTCTGCATTGTCTCTGCGTTGCAAAACAAGCTATAGCCCACATTTTGATCTCAACACCAGTGTGGAATTGCTTCCCTCGCATGTCCCAAACTCCATGGCTTGGGGTTGCCACTGTTCTGTTCTGCAGGAAGAAGAAACACAGCAATATTCATGTGAGTGAAAGCAAGGAGAACTATGCTATTTACTGCTTCAGAATAAGGGAAAAAACAAAGCCTGCAATTTAAACTCTGCTCCCTTTACTGCACAAGGCAACTGAAGTGGTTGAAACAGTCAACACACATTGGAATGGAACACGAAAATGATCAGGGGACTGCAGCACCTCCACTGCAAGACAGGCTGAGGGAGCTGGGCTTGTTCAGCCTGGAGAAAAGAAGGCTGTGGGGTGACCTCATTGCAGCATTTCAGTACCTAAAGGGAGCCTGCAAATAGGAGGGGAATCAACTCTTTGAAAGGGTTGATAACTGCAAGACAAGGGGAAATTGTTTGAAGTTGAGGGAGGGGAGATTGAGTTTGGATGTCAGGGGGAAGTTCTTTACTATGTGAGTGGTGAGGTGCTGGAACAGCTGCCCAGAGAGGCTGTGGATGCCCCGTCCATCCCTGGAGGTGTTCAAGGCCAGGTTGGATGGGGCCCTGGGCAGCCTGGGCTGGTATGAAATGTGGAGGTTGGTGGCCCTGCCTGTGGCAGGGGGGTTGGAAATTCATGATCCTTGAGGTCCCTTCCAACCCTGGCCATTGTGTCATTCTGTGAAATCACACTACAGTAATCATAATAGAAGCAAAAATAAAAGGTGAAGACCTCACCCGTCCTCCGTACTGCAGCATCGGCGCGGGCAGCACGCGCCCCGTCACGTGGGCCATCTCATCCCGGACCTTGAATTGGAACTCTTGAACAAATGGATCCGCATCGTAATTTGCACTTCTCACCTAGAAGAGTTTTTCCACGTTACATAAATATAATTTGCGTAACAAGTTATTATTATTCCATTTTAGAAGCCTAATTAGGAATGCTGCAGAAGTGTTCTACAATCCCTCTTCTCGTTGAAAAAGGCTTAAATTCAACTGCTTATTGCTCAACTGCCATGAGATACTGGATGAGATTTTTTGTTCCCTTAGTTACTCGAGGGGCTCACTTGTAATATGCTCATCCAAGAGCATTTTGTTTGCTCACTGATCAAAAAGCATTTTCCTTAGGAAATAAGCATGCTTCAAATTAAATTAACTCCTTCAATTACTGCACATTCTTGTCTTCTGTATTTTTCAGAAGTCTTATTTTAATTGAAAAATGTTGGTTCACTTGTCAGCTCCAAATCAGACCATTTCAAATCTCTTTTATCAGAATATTCAACCAAAAATACTTAAGTTTTACATTCTGAATCAGAGAAAACACCACTGCTAGGAGTGGGTGAAATACATAAGAGATGAAGACAGTGGAGTCACTGAGTGACAACATTTAACATGTACTGAGAAAGCAGTCAAACAGTTGAAAAACAAGACTGAGGCTCAGGAGACCTAGATTCACTTTTCTGATATAGATCCCTTGTGTGATATTGAGCAAATTTCAAAATAGTAATTTATAATGCCAGAATGATAAAAGGAAGGAATGAAAGGGTTACGTTGTTAATTTAAGAACTTTTTTACAACAAAATGGTTTGTCAGTGTGTGACCAGAAGCCACTGATCCAGGAAACCTTCAACACCACAACTGAAGACACTGATTGCCAATAAGGCAGTCAGCTATGGCCTGCTAGAAGAGCTGTCAGGCTGGAGTTAAGGCAGGAGCGTGGTTGAGAACATCCACTGCTGAACAGCATCAAGCCAAACTGAAATTGAAGAACTCACCAATCTGCTTATTTCCTCTTGCCTGTCTGGAGCAGACCTTGCTGTGGCCTTTATCATAGTTGATGTCTGATTGTCTGTTAGCTTCTTGATACACCGTTGGCCAGCCACAATGTTACATACCTTGAGGAAAAATCAGAAGCATTAATACACAGAGCATTTAGAATTCTCTAATGAATTCTCTGGTTCTACAAACCTCCGAAGTGTTTAAGCAATTGCACACTTTCACTTAGTTCTAATCTTTCAAGCACTTTAAAAATGTAATCATTAGTGAAATAAAACAAAGAGCACGTAAAGAATATGTAAATATGCAAACACACCTGCACTTCAAAGTGCATTACTTCTCCACGTTCTGCAAAAAGATACTGCCTACCAATACGAGCTGATTTATCAGAATAAGTTCCTTACTTCTAAAGGCAGGTAGGTGTGTTTCTGTTCCTGTCCCACTTGCAGGCAAGGCAGATGAGGATACTTCAGCTGGAGATTGTATTTCTCTCTGAAGTACTGTGCTACTGTTCTCTCCACAGTCTGGCCATTTTCTAACTGTAAAGGAAAGCTGGAGAGAGACACATTTTCATCAATCAAAATTATGAAAAGCTTAGCTGGCAATTATTAGCACTCCCAGAATGAATAGAATTAGATCCCATTAGATATTCAGTGCTAAGCTACTGCACATCTTACACTCTGACAAAAAAGCATCTTACGTTTGATGACTTGCAGGCCTCCTGGTCACATTACAAACACGGTATTTCCGTCTCATCGTTCCACAATGAGTCACTTCTACCTTCAGACCTGCACAGAAGTACCAAAAAACCTGGTGTCACAGCCACACAACAACTCGCACAGGAGACACAAGGTTTCTTATGAAAGAGTGTGTTCTAACCCAGCAGCTTTCATGGTTGGAGCTCAAGTAGCAAAATACAAGGCATTATTCTCCACATTTTTTCTTAAGTTACAAGTGGACTTCTGACTAATCAGGTATTTTCCTCAAAAACAGATCATAATGCATAGTATTGAGCGTTCGATGTCACCTGAATTCCTCAAAACACTTTCATTTAACAGGCACATGACTAATCTCTGGTAGACACAGGGCTGTTTTTACCACGTTTTTTTTGTTCTCATTCTCAGTGCTGTATTCCTTTTAAAAACTGCACTTACAGTAATTGAAAGGGCAAAAGCAGATTTCTTTTCCTTGTTCCTTTTTCCTAGCCTTGTAGCCATACTCTGTCTGTAACTTTCTTTACTTTCACTGGCACCCCAGACATTGCTCTCTGTGCACAGCCAACAGCAACACACGCAGCTTATCTCAGAAGAAAAGGCAGTTGGAAACAGCACTGCCACCCAAATTACTTCACCTACAGTCCACCAGCAGAGGCTTTTGAGAAAGCTGGGTGACGTGCCCTGTCCAGGCCACGCAATGAATATCCCCATCAAGGCAGGTCCCTAAGTCCCAGGGAGCAGACATCACTATTAGTTTACCTGGTGCACAGATATCCCAAAGAAGCATTAAACTGTGCTTCATTGATCCCCAACAACATCAACACCAGTATCACTCAGAGGAAGGCATCACCAGAAAACAAACTACAACTAAGTTTATACAGCATTAAAGAAAACACAGAAAAGGAGCCACGAAGTAGAAAAGGGCTGTGAATGTGTATCTGGAACCCATCAATTGCTCTGTCATCAATCTGCCGTGACACTACAGAAGGAACCATCCTCCCACTGAGCTGCACACACAGGCTGCAAATTCTGTAAGGCAGGGTTTGTTTCACTACATATGATCACAGCTTGGCTGGAGTTCCCAGATAGTACATCAGTAGGAGCAAATATTGACAGTGAAGGTAACCTCTTCATATTATCTGACTATGGTAACAAAGTGTCTCAGGCATCCAAGATTAAGAAGAGACAGCATCTCATTCTCCAGTTATTGGCCTCCCAGAATGGATACAGATGGGTGTAAGGAGGAGACATGTTTGGACTACTACTTGTGTCCTAGAAGGTACGTTTCCCCTCCTCAGCTAATGAATATTCCATGAACATACTGCTTTGTAAATATAGCTGAGATTTATTTTTCTGCTGGCCAGTATTTCAGCAGAGTCCAAGCTTTCATCAAGTAACACAAGTGTTCCAGAGCACAGCCTTGAACAGCTGAACTCTTTCAAGGCACCTCCCTCTACAAATCACACTGGAATGAAAGGATATGGGAAAATGCAAAGCAAAGGAGCATATATGGAGTGAAACTACGCTAAACAGTAGCTTATGCAATTCCTTTGGAATGGAATTTGGCCTTCAGCTGCAAGTTATCAAGCAGTACTTGTTTTTCCATACAGCAAACAGTTATTAGAAGTCACTGCAAATAGCATACTTTCAAAGAATCAATTAAGTTAGCTTCAAAATCGATGTTCATTTTGCCTCAGCACTTAAACAGCAGGAGACCTACAGCACAATACCACTGCAACTGCAGTGACCCCTGCTTCTAAAAGGTTAGCAGCCAACAAGGCAAAGCTGCCTTCCGCCAACCAGGCAGTGAATGCTTCTCCTTCCTCTCTTCAAGCCATGGGAACATCTCTCATTTTGCACCTTTCCTTTCTGCAGAACCACACTGCCTCATTCAGGATGAGAATTACTAATGTGATGTACTGCAGTTCTCCTAACAGGTGCAGGTCTCTTTTGATGCACGATAACCAGGGGCATTTCCAGTTAAATTGAGTCCCTAGAATGATCCTGAAGGACAGGACAGACATTTCTACTCACCCTTTATCTCTTTGGTGAATTTTACCCGATGAGAATCAGTCAGAGGTCTTGGTTGTTCATCAATATTATGAATGTCAAGAACTTCACACATAAACTGAATCACAGGTTGTGCTTTGTAGAAGGCAGTGGCAGAAACTAAAAAGAACCAAATACCAAGAAAACCAAAGTCAGAATGCCCTGAAACAGCAGATAAATGAATGTTTTCTTCAGATTCCAAGTAACCCTCAAAAAAAAATGCTGAGCAGCACTCATTTCTCAAAACAGATTAAGCCTTCCAACAACCACAGTGACACATCAGTCTCCAGCTTCGTCATCATACAGCTGCTTTGCATTTCTAGGTTTTGGAAAGGTTTTTCCCCAGATAACATTAATTTCTAGAGAGCTGTAATGTCCTGAAGAGACTCTGTATTGAGCTACAAGCACAGCCAGCACCCATATCTCTGCTGAAGGCTTTTTAACATAGTCTATTCAAGATGCAATATGATTTTGTCAATGATACGAGCTGCCCAATGACTGAAACAGTATTTGTTAGCCACATAAGCACTATTTTAACTACGTGCAAATTATGTTAGCATAGTAATTAGTGCAACCTTTGGTCTACCAGCATCTCTTACCATCCTGCACACCAGCGACCAAATCGCATTAAGAGACAATAATGTTTTTAAACAAAACAGCTGACTTGTTCCACGGAAGTAAGATCATAATCTGCTTAGAAAAGTTATAAGCAAGTGATGAAATGACTTTTAGTAAGGAAAGTGGCACAAGCTATAGCCCAACACAGTAAATATAATCCATACTTTCAAAACCTTAAATAGCAGCAACACGAGACAGCTCACAAGCACTTCACTGAGCTCCCAGATCTCCTGCACCAAAACCACCACATCCCCGTGTTAAAGCAACACAACATTCTTCAGACGTGTGTCACACCAGCAGGCTGCCAGCCCTACATGACACACTCCAGCCAACGCCTCCGGATGCTGATCAGTGAATGAACACACACAGCTCACACCCAGAGACCAGCAGCGTGCAGCTGTGCTCCCACAGCAATACCAGTGATGGAGAAACACTTTGTAAAGAACTTTGCATGAGCATCAACAAAAGCACGTGGTGGGGCATGAACATCATCTTCAGAACCTCAAACCACAACATGAGGTCATCAACCCGTAAGCTGTAGGTTAAAGTCAAAGTTCTTGACTGTCTCATTCACAGAAAGGACTGAAAAAATCATCCAGGAATTACTGCTGTGCTTTTTAAGACTGAGACCGATGGAATTTCAAGGTCACTTGTATTCTTGGAGGGAAGTCTTACCTTCACTCTTAGCTCTGAATCTCAACTTACCATCAATGTTGAGCATCATCTTCCACATGGCAGGCCGGACAGACTGATGGAACCCAAACCAGACCTCCCTGCCCCCCCCCAGGGGGTGATCATAGCCTTCTGGAGCTGAGAAGAAGGAGCGGCCCACAGGGGTATACCTGATGAAAGAAGATGAGCACAGCTTTATGCTGTCACTTTCCAAACACAAGATAAAAATCTCCATCATAAGACTGTAGCACAAAATATTTTTTGGAATTTTGTGCACAAGGAATCTGTCAAATTTAAATGACACTCTCAATGCTGGTGTTCCCATTGCAGTGTTTTTAAACGTAGACAAAAACATTTACTTCTTTTTGCAAGCAGGAAATTAACTTCTGTTTTCCAATTTCCAACTTCAGTACAGCATAATTTCCCTACACCACAAGCTCTGCACAACAGCACACTGGGCTGATCCTTGTACTCATTTTGCATATTTTTCAAGCAAACTTCTCTCAGTGTATACTGCATTAAAATGTGGTGGTAACAAAGAACTAGAGAAACTAATGTTTCTCAAGCTGCTGTTTACACATCTCCAGCCTTTAGCTCAGGATATAGGGTAGCTGGAGAACGTTTCCAGTTACACCCAACGAAAACCACCAGTGCAAATCCACCATACTGGCTAGAGCCAGCAACCAAAAAGGAGCCCCAGTTGCCCAAATAAAGCAAAACTGATATAGCCTTCCCTGATGTTTCAAAAGTAACAGGCATGGTTAGGACAGGTATCTAATCTCAATGATGTACTGAAATCACAAGAAGCATGCACCATTGATGGGTATATCAATGAATTATGAGTATATCAATGAATTAAAAAGACTCATGCTTTCAGACAGTCACCAAGTGAGTGGTATTTGGCTCAACTGGAACAGAAAACGTGGGAGCAGTGCTACAGCATCCTGTAAGCTCTCCTTATTTCAGCACAGACCTAATACAAGCATCTCCCACTTCTTGATCTTTTCAAACAAGCGTATCACCTGCTCTGGAGTTTAAATATCTACAGAAATACACGTACATAATTAGCTTCTATCTCCTCAGCTCAGCTCATCAGCTGTGCTGTGTGAGGGAATGATCATTCTTTTCAGGATGAAGGTGTCCCAGTGGGGATCCTTCAAATAAAGACAGACCGCAGAGGAAGACAGTGAACCTACTTCATGGAGGGCAGGTGTCGTAGCACCACATCGACAGCATGAACAGGGTTAGTGCTGATAGGTTTGTCTAGTTCCAGAGGCTCAGGCAAGGTTCTTCCTGTCAAAACTTCATGCAGCAAGTGCCAGCTCACCCGAGAAACAAACTTTATTGACACTTTGAAGGGACGATCTTTTCCACCTTCTCCTGGTAATGTCACATCCAAATCCACCTGGGTGGGCAAAAAAACAAATAGCAGCAGCTGAATTCTTGAGTTTGCTAGCCTGACCTCTCTATTTAGCACCCAAAATAAGAGGCACTGCTGGAACAGAGCCATTTTCTTTGCATTTATTGAGCTGGAAAGCTGGGAAATAAGTCTACGTAACCTGAAAGTTGCCTCAGCTCTTGAGATCAACCTAAGAGAAGGGATGAAGACACTTGCTTTCTCAACAGTGGTTTCAAACGCACAGTTCACTTTGTCATCATGGCTATTAATCACAATGAAATAGCTTCCCTGTGCTGCAGGAGGGCACAAAACATGTTCTCTCTGGCTTTCTGGTGATGGTTTCCAAAACTCTGAGTGTGCTTAGTGCACCCTCACCCCTCCACACTTCTACAAGACCACAACACTTATGGAAAAAGCATTTAGTAACAACTTTTCAATACAGTATTTAGAAAATATAGTTTTGAGAAAGCTTTTGGGTGTAACTTAGAAAAGTAAATGGAGGAAGTTAGAAGAAACAAGTCTCAATAGCTCAAAAACTCCCAACCAATCTGTTAAATGTCTCTTAAAAGTTAAGCTGGGTTTTCTTTTGCTTTTCTAAAAACCTGTAACAAGTACCATCTGTTTCTCCAGTTATCTTACCCCAGTAGTGGCCACAGGAAGTGGGTTGGCTGTATAAAGGCTTCTTTTCCCATCATAAACTGGTCGACGGTCCCCAAATATTGTCACTTTAAAATGCTGCACCATTGAGTCCACCACCTCCCTGGAAAAAAAGTTGGTATTTACACTGAAAATGTTTGCAGGGAAGTTTCATACTGGAACATGCTGATATTCCAAGAATGTCCTCCTCACATCACAGCTATGGTAACAGATCTACGCTACAGAATAAAACCACGACCAACGCAAATGCTCAGAAAATATTGTTGGTGAAATAATTTCAGGAAGTACCAGAAATGACTGAGGGCTCTCTCTCACCTTTAGTATACAAAGCAAAGATGCACTTATCTTGGAAGAAGGACAGAAGCTATTAGGAAAACCCAGTACAAGTCTACAGTTGGAAGTAGAAGTTAATTGCACTGCATACCTAATAATCTCAATCTGCTCTCCAACTAACAAGTCTTGGATTCTGTTTACACTTTATTAAAAAAAAAACAATGTATCTGAAGTCTTTGCTCTGACATTAATTATCAAATATTTTTACAATAAAATCAAGTAAAAAATGATCAGATTTGTGCACGGTTCAATTCAGCCAGTTTTCTGTGAGCTGATGGCAATAAAGAAAAGAGTAACCTACAGCAAAAAGATGCAAGCACTGAATTTACACTAGAGATGAAAATGTTTTGTTTCTTTTCTCATATGAAAAAAAGCTTTCTTGATACAAGCAGCACATGCACCCCCAGCAAAGGGACTTTTGCAGTACCTCTGAGATACGCCTCCATGTTTTGAATTCTTTGGAGATTCTTTGTGTTTCAGTGGCACTGCAGACTATTTTCACGTACTGCAATTCCCTCATTCTACAGAAATTACACATTTTCCTTCTGAAGCATAACTAGCACTCTCACAAAGCAGAAGCTTACTCATATGCCATTTCCTGACCAGGCAATATTACCCTAAAGCACTTCATCACAACAATAAACACCAGCTTCCTCTTAAAGAAGGCTCATGGCAGCACTTGCACCTCTCAGGTGGAGCTTGGAGAAGGTCAAACTCTCCCCTTTGCACTTCTATGTCACAGAATTGTTAAAATTCATGTTTTTCCATTGGCAACAAGCACAGCACTACACTAAAGCCACTTTAAAATAACTGCTTAGCACTCAGTTATCCTCCAGAACAAGTCCAGCTGACTAACAGAAACACTTTAGGAGCCAGTATTTCTACCAGGAAAAGTCACTGCCTACAGCTATGCCATATTTCTGATGCCCTGAAGAACAGAGGTGCTGCCAAAGCAGTCACAAAGCTCTGTGCCCTCTCACGGCTGGCCCACATTACAGCACCTGGTCACAGCCAAACCGACCAGAACCTGGAGCAGCCTCTGTACCCATCTCAGGTTCTAAGCTACACAGCGACTCGACTTGCTTCAGTAGGTCCCCCTGCTTAAAAACATCAGCAGCAATAGAATTTAGAAGACAAACGTCACTTTCTTACCTGTTCACCCTCCGAGGACACTTATCTGGTTTGATATCCACCTCATAGAGGTAGACATCAATCTTTGGGATTTCAACTTGGAAGCAGTTGGCCAGCAGTTTAATGGGTTTGCCCATGGTGCCATAGCCAGGCCGTCTGGGCACCATGAGCAGGGGCTGAGCCCCGACGGGTCCTGTCAGAGAGCAAAGCAACAGATTAGAAGACGAGCACAACAAACAACCTGCACTGCAAAGGTACCAGCTTATCTTTTGGTAGTTTTAAGATTGGAAAGGATGCTCACGGTTGTAGGTACACTTGCTGGCCTCCCATTAAGACTCACTAATGTACCTTCTCATTCTTAATCAAGTCGCAGAGAGGTCAGGCAGGCACCTGAGCTAGCACCTATGTTCAATTCAACACAAAACCAGGTGAGAATGCATTCTGTACGTTGAGATGAGAGCCCTCAGTAGTAAACACGGTCCACTCTTGAGAATTTCTGCTGGTCGTGTCATTTAAAAACTCCTCTCTGTGTTGCAGCAATAAGAACAACGTGCTCTGCAGTCCGACTTGCTTTGAGTTTTTACAAATTACTCATCATACAAATGTCACAGCGTTTGATTAAATTAGTTAAAAGTTCTCCCCTCCGCTCCCACTCAGTGACGCAGACAGCAATTCCTGCCCACTCTTTTCATAGAAGAGTTGAAATGTCAAGTGCTGGTAAAAAAAAAAAAAAAACACGTCTCATTTGTCTTTTGATTAATCTCCCCCATTCCTGGAACAAGCTGTATTATTTTGAGGCAGGCTGTGTACTGACAATAGGTGAACACCAGAGCAAAGTTCCACTGTAACATTTGCCTGGCTCTACCCAGAAACCTAGCAAAAAATTCTGCGTGGGTTGGCTTCAAGCCATAAAACAGAACAAAAACATGAAACAAGAGGCATCATTAAAAACACCCTCACAGCCTATGCTTATGCAAAACGAGTTCCAAGCATCTGTTCTCCTCACTTTTTCTTCATTTTAATACTATGAAATGAGTACAAGCAGCCCTACGTTTTACTCCAGATATATTTTCAGAATATAAGCATATGTAAAAAGTTACTACCAAACATTTGAGTGACATAAGTGACTCAATAGCTTGTTTTAATATTAAAAGAACGTGCATGGATACATGCTCATATATAGTTTCTATCTACAAGAAACGTGAATAAAACTGCTGAAATAAAGATAATTAAAGGGTTGCTAGAATCAGGGCTGCCCGGTGCCCCCACCCACACCTCACGTGCAAGTTGTATCACTGTAGGTACAGGAACAGAGCTGCTCTGAAGGCAGCACTGAAGGCTACGAGTGCTGGGAGTGCAGCACAGCTGGGTGAGCACTGCTCGAAGTTCAGCTTCTCAGCAGGGCACAAAAGTTCTGGACGAGACAAAGCCCTGCACAGCTTTATCCCCAGCACTGCTGTCCCATCACCTGCACTAACAAAACCCCAAAGCAAAGAGGTGGCATTGGATGCCACAAACGGGGCACATTCCAGGCACAGGGAAGCAGTGCTGTGCCCACAGAGCACCACGGGGAGCTGAGAACTGCAGATGAAGGCGTTGGGATCGGAGCCATTGGAGCTGCTCCAATCAAGGAATGAGAAGCACAAGACTACGTGCTATTCAGGAACAGTTTTTAGATGTTCTGCTGATTTGTGCAGGATCCCTCGGGCAACTTCACAAGGAATACAAGCAAGCTGCAGCTCTGCTCTGCCCCAGCCCTGCACTGACTCGGCTGTGGGCACAGCACAGCTCCCGAATGGCTCCGGTGACTCACAGCGCCTTGGACCCGTGTCAGGTACTGCAAGTGACCAAAGCCAAAGCACTGAAAGCAGGATTACTGTACGCAGCATTGGGTGCGACTGACAGAGCTGCTCTTCCATGTAATTCGGCCAGAGGAAGGCAAAGTACAGGAAATCTGTCACAGTGCTGTGCAGCACAGGACCACAGCGGGTTTGGGACCAATCTGCGTGTGACAAACTGGTGCTACTCTGCCTTTAAACATCAGTACGAACACATATCTCAAAAACCCAAGAAAAAGCATTCACCAGTTATTACTGATCACAGCAGCTGCTGAAATCAGAGCGTGTGAGCATCCTTCAGAACAGGGGAAGATCCTCCTGCAGTACGGAACGCAGCGCTTCCACAGAGCTGACAGGGAAGGAAAGGAACTGATGCTGTTGGAGGGCTGAGGGGAGGAAACCAACGCATCAAAAAGTTAAATAAGTGCTGAAATGGGTAACTGTTATTTGTGGAACGTTCTGAAGAAAACAATCTCATCCTCAAAGTATTTTTTCAAAGAGCTGAAGCTTGCAGATACACAAGAAATATGGTTTCTGGTTGGGACATGACATTAATTTCCATTGGGCTCAGCCGGTACCTCCAGCAGCAATGCATGGACCCCCCCCAGGACATGGGAAAATGCAGAACTTTGGAGCCAGATCCCCCACATGTGAAGCTCCCACTGCAGCCACACCGTTTGCCAGAAGGATGGGGAAGGTATCAGCAGCTCTGATGGGATCTGAGCCACGGCACTGCTCCTGCACGACGACAGGAGCTGATGTGCTGTGCACACTGGGCTCACATCTACTGAGCAACCCGACAGCACTCAGCACAGCACGCACAGGACCTGCAAGTACTTGCAGCAAACCATGCTAAGGAAAACTGAAGCATCTGGCATGCAAGGCAGTTTTACAGCAAGAAGAAATACTGCTTTCTAGCAAGATGCTAACAGAAGATAAGGGTTTCCTTACACGATCCTTCTGTAGGGAAGGGAAGCCAGTACCAGGCTTCCTGCAAGAGATTAACCGTTTTCCCACTGTGGGCTTCAGCATTACAGAAGTTAAAAATACAAACAGGCAATCAGTTAATAGTTTTATTTTTGTGTATGAAACAGTTCTAGACCTCTAAACAAAGGGTGGCCGAACAGTTTGGAGGCTGTGATGGAGAACATGACAGGTATGGGCTCAGAACAGAGACCCAGCAGCATCCAGCAGGCAGAGGACGGAGGGGAAGGATCCCCTTTCAGAGGGCCCCTTTCTGCTTGGGCTCAGAGGCCCAGCCTGCAGAGCTCAGAGAAAATCCTACCACCAGCAAGACACGAGTTAACTCTAGATTGAAAAAACAGGGTGAGGAGATCCTATTTAAGCATTGGTTTCCATAATCGCGCTCCTTCCCTACGCCAGAAATCATGAATTGCCTTACTTCTGTAGCAGCAACCTCTCTGGGTGGCATTACATTATTTATGAGTAATGCAATCCACGTTTTCTCAACATTCCTACTTGCAATTTAGGCTCTACTTTGAACAAAAAAAATAGTTGCAGACCATAAGTCATGTTAGAACTCATCGCGCCATCCATCCGCCGCTGCTCTGCTTTCAAATTTGAGATGCAAGCAGTTGCCATTTCCCCAAGTACTGCCTGAGAGCAGAACAGCAAGATCCCAGACACACGGCGTAGGACTAAATTTAGAGCTACACGACCAGAAAATAAAAATAATTTCTTACAGTTACTGAGCAACACTTCTTTAGACATAACACCGAAATGTGCTTTACACCCTCAGCAAGTTTCGCTTGTGAGGAAAATTAAAAGGAGCAAAAAATTAATGGTTGATTTTCTTGCTTTCACAAAAACACACCGCGGCACAAAGAAGTGAGAAACAATGCCTGATGAACATGAAGGACCAAATCAATTCGTATCCAACTCTAACCTTAGTTAAAGGTAAATGCTTCCCTTGGCACTCCAGTAACAAAACCTATTCTAATGCAAGAGAAAAATGACTAACTTAGTGAGATCTCACTGACCCCCTGGCAGGACACCCTGCTGTCTGCCCTCACTGCAGCTTCCAGCCTTGGGACCACTGCAGAGCTCTCAGCCCATCCCAGAATGCCCCAAAGCATCAGCCAGATGCTGCCTCTTTGCTGCAGGAATCACTGGAGCTGCATACAGTGGGGCACTGCTGTTCGACTGCTGTCGTTTAAATGCAGACCAGATGTGTTGAAAAGCCTCATATTCCTGTCATTTCTTTAAAATTAGCTTGGAAATTAGCTCAAGCTATATCCTATCTGACAATTAAACCACTATGGAAGTAAAGCAAAGGGGAAGAAACTGTAAAGTTCTGATTCCAACAGCTTCCATTGCAATTCCACAGAGGCGAAGTTCCATTGTAACTCACATCACATGCATTCCTGACTAGAGTAACTGTTGAAGGCACTTATGATTCATTCCCCCTTTCTTCTCAACCCCACCCACAAAAATACAACTTTTAATGGTCCTCCCAAGCCACCAGCCTCAACACAGCAAGGCAAACGCTCTGCATTCTGTCTGCCCTAAGCTCCTACAGAAAACAGCCTACAAGATTAAACAACAATGCCTGTGCTTCAGTAAAACCATCACAATGGAGTCGAGAGAACAACACCTTAACACTAAAAGCTCTGGACTTAGAAGGGGCAATTTATAAGGTGTATGTGGACACACAGCACTCTGACTTGACTTGGTCAAAGCACAGAGCACCAACTCACAGCAGCAGAGCTTTTACAGAGCCCTGCAGAAGCTCTTCTCACACCTCCAGCAGAAGTGTGATGCCAGGCACCGAATTCACACTGCAGCTGGGAGCTGCCTTCACTGTTCTTTACTGATCCATCCTCTCCACTTCCTCTTCTGTGACTTGCCTTCGCAGGAAAGGCTGTGCATCTGAATGTTCTTCCTTTGACACAAGGCAACTTCAGCCCTCATCGCACTGGCCAGCATGGCTTGCGCCCATCTCTGCTGGTGGCAGAGAGTTCCCAGGTGCACAGGGCATTAAGCAAGCATGGAACCTCCTCATCACAGAGGACACACAGGGAGGAACACTCAACCCCAGTAGCAACACTTCAACACACAGGGCAAAATCCATCACATTACAACCTAACCAAAGGGAAAATCATTTCAGAGAGAAAATCAAGTCATTCCTGTGCTATTCTTGCAAATCTGAGCCCTGTTATGAGACAGCTCGAATCACGCCGGGTTATCACTGTAGTTTATTTAACACACACAGATTGTTCGCATACCATCCAAATTCCGTAGGATTGCTAAAATCCAGCACTTTCCTAAAATGGTTTCAAATCCATCACTTAAGCTCATTAAGCAAGGACACAGGCAGCAAGCTTTTCCAGCCAAATCCATCACGAAGTTCAACCTCAGTACAAACACCAAAGGCACCCATGTGTGAAGAGCTGGGACGGCTCTGCTTGGCACCTCCAGCTCCTGCCTCACCCCCACAGCACCCCAGCCGTCACACCTGAACGGCAGCCCTTCCAACACACCCAAATCCCTTCTCTACATCTCAAACCACATTTTAAACAGGCGCTGCACAAACAGCGAGCCCGCGCTTCCCAAACAACGAAAGCCCAACCGAAGGGCATCGCATCGGTGGCTGCGGGGCAGAACCCCCCCGAGACGCCTGCAATTGCTCCCAGGCCCAACAGCCACGGACACAGCCGTACGTTCAGCCACCGGGAGACGCCGACAGCGGCGTTCCGAGCGGCCGTGCGGGGAAAGCCGCGGCTGTGCGGCCGATGCCCCGCGGCACCCCGCGCTGCCGGGTTATGCAAGGCGGCTGCGCGCCGCGCCGGCCCCGGGCGTTACGAAACGCCGGGATGCGTCCTGCGGGTGTTCCCGGCTCCGGAGCGCGGGCGGCAGAGAGGAAGGCCCTCCCGCTCCCCCGGGAGCCCCGGCTGTTCCGCTCCGCCGTGCCGGGCCCTCGGGACGTGAAACCACGCGGCGGCGGCACGCAGCACCGCCAGCCGCCGCCGGGCAGCGGTTCCCGCTTCGTCCCTCCCGACCCCGGGCCGCTCGGAGCCCCGCTAGGCCGCTCACCTGCGCTGCTGATTTCCATTCATGGAGCTGGGCGCAGCCGCTCGGGGCTGCGGGCTCCGCCGCTGAGCTGAGCTGGGCCGGGCCCGGGCCCCGGTCGGGCTGCGCTGGGAGGCGGCGGCGGCGGCTCCCCGCTTCTTTTAGGCCGCAGCCCGGCGCCTCTTCTCGGCCGCTCCCGTTCCCTCAGGCAGCGGCAGCGGCGGCGGCTGCGGCGCCCCCCCGGGCGGAAGTTGCGTGGCCGCCCCGCAGCCCCGACTCACGCTGCCGCCCGCCCGCCGAACCACCAGCCGCCGGAAGTCCCGCCCCCGCACGCCGAACCGTTCGCCCTTCCGGGGAAGGGCGGTGCTTCCGCGGAGGGCGGGAAGAGGCGGGACCGGAAGTGCGTGAGGGGCCGCGCGGGGAGCGCGCGAGGCTGGGCAGTTGCCGGGCAACGGCGCTGTGGGCGGGAAAAGCGGCGGGAGCGCCTCCGTGAGGGGAAGCGCGGGGCGGGCGGAGCGCTGCGCCGCTGCAGCCGGGAGCTGTTCCAATTCGACGCCGTGTCTGCAGCGCAGCGTAGCAGACGTGCCCCGTGGCAGCCGTTCAAGGGTTACGATGACTTTTTGGATTTCTTAGCCGCCGTCCCAATGAATTATGCTGTGGGTTTTTTTAGTCGTCGCCAAAAGAACAGCGACGGAAAGGAGCCTTGGCCTTTGTTCAGCTGAACGGCGAGCAGTTCCCATGTAGGGCCGCAGCACAGAGCCCTGCTCCCTCAGCACACGGCGGCCTGGAGCCTCAACCCCTGTCCTGTACTGCCCTAAGAACCCAGGGCTCGTGTGTGTTTATTACATTTGCAGAGCTGTGAGAGCATGGCTGCAGTGTGGGAGAAGAATAAAGGCTGATCTGCATACATTCAGAGCATAGGGCTGCCCTGCTCTGTGTCTGGCAGTGATTGTAGCAGTGTTCAGTACCAGTCAGCTATTGGAGGTGATCTTGTAAGGGTTCTAAAAGCATGGGCATTTAAAACAAACCGCTAGAACGTTTCCTTCTTTCAGGATTTAAATGGGGAAATGTGATCACCACGCTGCAGCCATAAGGCTGAGGGCGACGTCTCCATCTGGGCACTTCCTGCAGTCTGGGCTGCTGTAATCGGAGCCCAGCACCAGAGCTCAAATGCCAACCCAACACCTGACACCACGGACTGACAGAGATCTGCTTTCCAGGACCTCGACCCAGCGGCACAAAGCACCATTTTCTGTTACATCTCTCTCTTGGAAACAGGTTCCCTGAAACTGCTGAAGATTTCTGCTATGGAGTAGGGCTCTTTTAAATGTGTTATAATGTTAAAAGCAGAAGAGGAACAGAATTTGTAAAGATGCTCAGTTTTGTGTAGTACATCCACGTAAATTAGCTTAACAAGTACATGCATGCCATTGGCAAATGCTTCCCTAAAATTGCTTCGCATTATTCAAAAACCCAGAGTTACAGCTCAACTGCTAAATAATTCAGTGCCTAAAGGAATGTCGATACATGTTCGTAAGGTAAAGCACAAACAGATCCACAGAATTCAGAGGATGGCACACAACCTCCACTTCTGTACCCATGACACACGCCTAAGCTATTGGCATGGGTTTGCAGAGGACTGTGAAGTTTGCAGATAATTCCAAAGCTGAGAAACATAAAGAAATCCAGAGGATAAAGCTTAACCCCGATCCAAAAGGAGTCTGAAATCTTTTCTTAAAGCACCTTGGAGCCAGCTGCCCTTTACAGCCCTCTGAGCATGAAGTGAGCCTCACACAGAACACGTGCAGATGCACAGCGGAGCCGTACGGCCATTGGAAACATCCATCCAACAGAAAAGGCCAAACTGACCAGCCAAGGGCAGGAGCATTATGCTCTGGAGATCAAACCCATCAAGTCTGCAAACGGCTGAAGTCAGATGTGTAAACGCACACAAGTTTACCTACAGCAAGGGGCTGTTTGAACAGAGAACAAAAGATCCAGGTAAAAGCCCAAGTAGCGGTTTTACATCAGGTCTTGGATTGGAGTCAAGGCAAATCCAGAGAACAGTCCTGCCTTTATATTACTTATTAGGAGTCACACTAAGGCCGCAATGCCAAAAGCCCAAACCTGGAGTGGCAGCTTATTTTGATGTAGGTTTCTGCCATTTAATAACCCAAGGAGCTCCAATTAAGTCCTTCCTCGGACAGATGGTATTTTAATGAAAAGTGGAATTAGCTATCATCATCCAAGAAGTTTTAAGCGCATCGTTGTTCACTTGAGTGTTTCTCTCATTAAATTGAACTAAGCTGGAAAGTGAGGAGTTTTGGATCCTCCACAGCATCTGATGCAATTCAGCTACAGTCAGCATTTCACTGCTCGTCCCCAGGCCCTCTGCAACTGGGCTCAGTGCTGAGCATGCACGCTTCCTCCTTCCCCACGCGATCTGACTCAGGCGTGTCACCCCAACATATTCACATTGCTTTTATTTAGGTCTTCTGCCAACACTTACAGGGTAACAGACACTTGGGACTGCAAAGTCAAAGTTGCAAGCAAAAATCAGGATTAAGGCAAAAAAATAAAAACTTAAAAAAAAAAAAAAAATCCACAAAAGCGATCAAATCAAATATAAATACAATGTTCTGGAGCTCTTTAATCATACCATTTTCTTTAATAAGGAGGTGGTTACCATCTTACAGTATTACCTTTAGGCCTAATCCAAGGGTTTTGTTACTCTTTACCAGTCTTAATTCCACGCATACAAAAAGAAAAAAACAAAACAAAACTTGATACCCAACCTTTAAAATATACGCCATATTTTCTTAATAAAATAAGTTTTGTGCTGCTGCTTGTTTAGTAAGTACTGTACATCAACTGTTCACATCTATTTAACAAATGGACCATACAGAGTTCAAGCTAAAGCAAAAAAAAATAACCGCAAGAAAAATAACAACCCAGAGAGTGTTTGTAAACACCCCATGTACAGTTCAACACTTGTTGTATAAAGGAGGTACGAAAGGGGCTAGAACTGAACACAAAAGCACTGGAGTCCCCATCAATTTTCTTTCACAACTATTGAAGTGCAAATCACTCAGGCAAGATATGAATTTCATGTGTTTATTGCTGTCCTGCTGTCTGGCTTCCCTTCCTAAAAGAATGACATTCTTTTCTTTATTCACACTCATTTTCCAAGAAGAAAACCTTCCACGAGGCAAGGCTGAATGCTCGGGCTTTGTGACACCAGGCATCAGGTCAGAGGCTTGCAAGTACTGGGACACCCCGACTGCCCCTGTCACGTCCAGGTATGAGACAAGGGAAACAAACAGCATCCGACAACCGACAGGTAAATGGAAGTTATTCCTCTTCCCACAAGGCTTGCATGCACTTGGCGATGTTTCCAGTTGCAGAAGGAACGCGTGCGCACTGAGAAGGCAGAGAGACTCGGGAGCCATTCGGGATGTCCACGTGGGGTTTGTGGCTAAACTACAAATCCTGATATGCCTCTGGCTTAACAGCTATCTGCTACGGGTAGCAAAATGCACAGCACCTCAACATGCACTTATTTGTTTGCAACTTGGACAAGAAAACGGTAGAAATACTGAATGCTGGAGCCGCGCAGAAGGTACAGTGCATAGTCTGTTATAGAAAACATGCGGGTAACTCAAACCCCTTCTTAATATCTTCAAAGTGGAAATACGGTTTAAAGGGCACAGCAGCTATTGAGTTTGGCTTTTTTATTGAATCAAAACCATGAAAACCTAATGCAGAGGGTGAAATAAGGGCAGAACACGATCTGCAAGTCACCAGCTGAGCGTTTCAGAAGCTGTGAAGCTTTTGTGTAGTTAAAATTGCTGTTAAAAGTAGGTGCTACATCAGCAAGTCTTCATTCATAGTTCTCTATGAACAGCCACCTTACAAATGAGTGCAAATCTTAAAGGTCCATTTTACATTTCAAGTCTCAAGGTTAAAAAAAAAAAATGTTACAGAGCAACAAGCTGTTTTGTAAATGCCCACACTATCTCTTTTCAAATGGTTAAAAATGGCACGTGCTATGCCACAGCTACTAAAAGACATTTCAGAATTCTAGACCCAACTAAAACACTAAAAGAAAAACTAGGAACCAAAATACCTTCGCCCCTCGCTGCCGCCAGCAGCTGGGTGCATTCTGTTGTAATGCTGGTGAACAAACCCATTTACAGAGAGAACCTTGACCTTAACCCCGGTGTGATTCCTAACGAGGGGCTTTCTCATACGAGGTGAGCAGGTACAGCCCCTCTGAGATCGTTTTGCTTTCAATGAACACAAGCCAGAGGTCTGAGGATGAAATGGAGAGGTGCTGGATTTGTGTCACTATGCAGGCACTTGTGTATAGGAATGTAGGCTTCTCGCGTTGACACTTAGTGTTGATGCATTCCCTGCTCTCTAAAAGCTTTCCTAAGACTTCATACCCTACTGACCACGAAGAGCTCCTGGTCTCCTCCCCACCACCCTGCAGACAGACAGCAGTGGCGTTTGACACAAGGTGCAAAGGAGAATGTGAACCAAATACTGCAGTCTTGAGGAAAAAGACAACTGTGCTAAATGTAGGATCTTCACCAAAGGTGACATCAGTGGGCTCAGCACTTAGTTTGCATAGCATAGTGATGTCTTCATTGTTCACAAACACGTTGCCCAGAAAGAAAACAGGTAGAGTGAATTCCCAGTATTAGGACAGATCAACGGGCCAGCATGACTAGTGTGGATTTCATGAAGGCAAGGTGAGTTTAAACACCAGAAAGCAGAAAACAAAAAGGTGTGCTTCTATCCGTGCACTGACAAGGGGCAGTGCTGGTGACAGATCTGCTCTAGAAACACGTTCACTTTTGGCAGTAAAATGATAACAGAGCTCTTCTCCTGAGAGCTCAATAGGAGTGCACACAGTTTCTCTCTTCAAGGAAGCGTTGTGCAAACCTTTCATATAGAAAAAAAGCCACCAATCTGCCCACATGATATTGGTAATGAGTTGTTACTACTGCCCTGCTGTGCATAATGGTCATTCTGTGCAGCAAAATGAGTCTGAAAAGCAGCCACCATGTTACTGTTGGAAACAAACAAACAAAAAAGGCTTTTTTTTTTTTTTCCCCTGTCAAAACCAGATCAGGAGGAGCTTCCCCACGACGATAACAAGGATTTGATCATCCTGACTAAGGAACGTCTCTGGTGTGCTTTCAGAATAAAAACCCCGTGCACAAATCAGCGATAGGGTGACACAAAGA